GGGCAGGTTGGGGCCAGCTTAGCCAAGGGGGAGTACTGGGAAGGTCGTGGGCAGAGGGGACAGCCACTGCCAGGGTGGGCAGAAGGCCAGGGTGGGCAGAGGAGAAGGTGAAGGATGGAGGGGAAGGTGGGGTGTGGAGGGACAGTGGGGAGCCTCCCAGTAGGAGGAGGAGCAGGTGGGGGTGGGGAGGTGGAAGCAGACCGACTGGCACCGTGTCTAGGCCTCGGGATCTGAACCTATAAAGCCATGCACAGGCCTGGCTCTGCCTGCACCTGGCTCCAGATGCACTCGGGGGTGCCCAGCCCCCAGGCCTGGGAGGCCCAGGGCCCAGGAAGGGGGCAATCACTCTGAGGCTTTTGTGCTGTGTGGCCCGATGGGACACAGACAGGTATGCAAGACAAGACAAGAGGGGAGGCGGGGCAGCCGGGTTCCAGGGGGGCCCAGAGGACAGAGAGCCCCTAGCCTTGCTCTCTTTCCACCTGGGGGTGCTGGCTTCCACCAGCCTTGGGGCACCCAACACTATCTGAACACACTCCCGGTGACATCTCAGGCAGCACTGCAGGAGAGTGCAAAGACCCCCCCCCCCCCCAGGCTAGAGGCAGCTCCTCGCCTGGCCTAGCTGGGCTTTCCCCTCCCCTGTGTCTCTCCTGCTTTCGAACTCTGTGCTCAGAGGGCCCCGGCAGCTTCGCTTGTCATTGTCACTGCAGGCAGGGCCCAGTCTGGCTGTGCTCCAGACCTCAGGTCAGAACTCTGGGGAGAACCTGACCACATGCTTGAGTGCTGTGTGACTTTGCACAAGCCCTGTGCCCTCTCTGAGTCCGCCCCTCCCCCTTTATATATAATTTAGACAATGGATGAGGTAAGAGATCTGTCTACAGAGAGCCCCAGAGGCAGGGAAGGGGCTTAGGGGTAGTCATAGCAGAACCTTCCTGCTTGGGCCATTTGGGGTGAGGGATCAGACCCAGGCAAGCCCAGGGAAGATTGTTAGGTTCTGCCTGCCTTCCTGCTGTGGCCCTGGCAAGGTGCCCACCAGGCCCCGCCCCTGGCCTACCCCACCCACTCGGTACATCCTGGCTTTGGCTCTTTCTCATCCATTGTTTCTAGTGAGCACCACTGTTTCCATAAGCCGGCGGCCAGGTGGGTGCTTCAGCCTCCAACCCCAGCTGGCCGCATCTTCATCCTGGCTCTCTTGTGCTGAGTGACCCTGGGCCAGTCTTGGAGCCTTAGTTTCCCCATGTGTAACATGGGGTCTATTCTAGCTCATCCTCACTCATTATCCCAGGGTAAACACCCAGTCTTCAGAGGAGAGAACTAAAGCCAAGAGCGACAAAGTCTTTCCTTGCTCCCAGCACAGGGTGGGGAAGAAGAGAGAGGCAGACATTTGTGAAACAGCTGCTCTGCCCACTTGTTTTCTTTTCTTTTTGTCGGATGTGGGGCTTGAACTCAGGGCCTAGGCGCTGTCCCTGAGCTCTTTTGTTCAAGGCCTAGCACTCAACCACTCTGACCCACAGTGCCACTTCTGGTTTTCAGGTAGTTCATTGGGGATAAGAGGCTCATGGACTCTCCTGCCGGGGCTGGCTTTGAACCACGATCCTCTGACCTCAGCCTCCTGAGTAGCTGGGATGATAGGTGTGAGCCGCTGGCACCGGGCAGGGCTGCCAGCTTCTCAATCCTCAGTGACCATCAACTAAAGACAGCACTCAGAGATGTGAAGTTGCTCAGAGTCACACGGCGCTGAGCAGCTGGAGCAGGGCTGGGTTCTGACATGCCAGACCTTTGGCTTTGTCCGTGGCTCACCCCTGGTTGCTCTGGTGACACAGCTCTGGGGCTCCGGGGTCAGCATTGAGCAGGCCGCAAGGGCAGCCGGCTGCTGGGGGAAGAGGGGCCAGCCATGTCCCTGCACCCCGCCACTCCCCCTGGCCCCCCACCAACCCCAGCAGGGCAGCATTTCAGAATATTGAGGCCTGGACATCCTCTCCCCCCTGTGGGTGGATGGGGAGGGGCCTTCCTGTCTTGGGGGGGGTCATCCTGCAGGACCTCCCCCCACCATGGACTCCTGCACCCCTCACAGCTCAACAACATTGCAGGGGAGTGGATTCTACCACCGACTCATTTCATAGCAGAAGACACTGGGGCTTGGGGTAGGGAACCCCGGCCTGCACTGCTGTCCCCCAACCCTGGATTCTTTGCATAATGACTTATACAATATGGGGGTCAGGGGGAAGTCTGGGGCCCGAGGCCGCACAGCTGCTAGATGGAGGCACTGCCCAGGCCTCCGGGAGCCTGGATAACCCGTCTCCAGGCCTAGAGGGGGCTGAGACATCGGGCTTGGCCTGACTCCGTGCTTCCCCATGGGCAGAAGCCCCAGCTCTTGGCTGAGCCCTGGACGTGTACCTCCTGTGGAGAGATTCAAGGGCTTCCCCACGGGACCTCTGCTCTCACCTGCCTGGAAGGTCTGCCCTCGGGAGAGTAGCCAGGGACAGTGGCCTTTGCTTGTCTGGCCAGCTTGAGGGCCTGAGCATGGGATTTGCTCTCATTTCCTCTATGGGGCTCCTTTTCAACAGGAGGAAGAGGGCGCTGTGCTGGGCTCCTGGCCTCCCTCATGGGGGGCTGTCTCCTCCCTTGGGCCACTGACTCCCTCCCCAGCTCCACTGGGTAATCCCAACTCACACCCGAACCCCCCACCTTCTGTCCTTGCTTCTTGGTGAATTCTGCCCCATCTCATTGCTTGACTCTGAATTCTGGACTCTGCCTCTGGGCCTCAGTCACTCCACTCTGATGGACCAGGCTGATATAAATCTCAAGGCTGAGGGTGGTGGCTGACACCTGTAATCCCACTTGGGAGATAATTTCAGTTCAGCTTGGGCAAAAAGTAAGCAAGACCCCGTTTCAACCAGTAAGTTGAGCCTGTAGGGGTACAACTGCCATCCTCACTACTCAAGAGGTATAAATAGGAAAATCTCAGTCCAGCTGATCAAAAAGTATGGGATCTTATTTGTTTTTGCTTTTGGTCCGGTCCTGGGGCCTGAACTCTGGGCCTGGGCGCTGTCCCTCAGCTCTTCAGTTCAAGGCTAGCACTCTACCTCTTGAGCCACAGCGCCACTTCTGGCTTTTTTCTTTTTGCTTATGTGGTGCTGAGGAATCGAACCCAGGGCCTCAGGCATGAAAGGCAAGCGCTCTACCACTGAGCCACCTTCCCAGCCCCAATGGGATCCTATTGGAAAAGCAGTAAAGCCAAAAGGGCTGGATGTGTAGCTCAAGTGGTAAAATACTTGGCTAGCAAGTGCAAACTCAAGCATTTCTTCCATTAACTCCATACCTCCTGAGTCTTGAGGTGTGTTGTCACCCATCCCCACTGTTGGAACCAAGATATATCACTCATAACAGATGGACAGGGCCAGCAAGGAGCAGGCCCTTCAGGGCAGAATGTAAGCTGCACATGGACATGGTGGATGGCTGGAAGGATCCCTTTGCCTGGGACACTTCCACATCTGTGGCCCCAAGGAAGGGGATCCAGACAGACAGGGTTCGAATCCTGACTCTGCCGCAGAGGATCTGTGCATTACCACCTTCCTGAGCCTCAGGGTCCTCACTGAAATTGAGGGGAAAAGGCCCTACACCCTGGGGTGTGTGTTCCCATGTCATGCAGAAACATCCAGATGGGTGCAGGAGTTTGCATGTTGAGTGTTCCCCAAACAGCGCACACAGTGAAAAACTGGCCCTCCATTTGCAGGGAACTAGATGGAACTAGAGCACATCATTTTGAGCGAGGTAAGCCAAAAGCAAAGAGACAAACGGCACATGGTCTCTCTGATATGTGGATGCTAAAGCCAAAACGCAAGGAGATACGACAAACAGGACTAGGGAAACAGAGGACTTCCACTCATTTTGTGTATCACTGCTAAATGACTCCATGTTCTTGACCACATATAAGGTATATATGTGACAACAGAGGGAAGCTAGGAGGCAGACACAGAATCAGTGGGAAAGGGGAAAATATACAACAGGGGACCCATCTGCTGCACTGGACGCAGATGAAAATGAACTAAGCAACCCAAAGATAGCGACGGGAGGGGAGGAATGAGAAGGAAAGAGGGATCAGCTTACACTAAGCAAAAGAAATGTAAATATCACCTGATGTGGAAGAAATAATTATATTGTCAAAGCTCATAGAATTCACAAACGTTATAGACCACGATAATGACAATTTGCCTTGTGAAGGTTAAAATGTGTTTGTGACTTTTACTAAGTATTTTTCTGTGAAATATGTGAAAATTATATAATCACCTAATCTCAATTTAAAAAAAAAGAAAGAAAGAAAAACTGGCCCTCAAGCCAGTATTATTAATGAAGCCTTTAAGAGACAGGGCCTACTGGGAGTCCTTAAGTCTCTGGCCCAGGAGCCAGGGCTTGTTTTCAAAGGGGACTGGGAGCCCTTGATCCTTCCCTTCCCTTCCCTTCCCTCCCCTCCCCTCCCCTCCCCTCCCCTCCCCTCCCCTTCCCTCCCCTTCCCTCCCCTTCCCTCCCCTCCCCTCCCCTTTCTTGCCTCCTGGCCCTGAGGTTCACTCCAGGCCCAAAGCCACTATCATAGGCCAGCCAATCACAGACTAGAAGCTCTTACAAAGCAAACCTTCTTGCCTTACTAGTGGATTATTTCAGGTAACTTGTTACAGTGACTGGAAGTTAACTTATACACCAAGCTGGAAGAAAGACCATGGGATGGTGTGGCTTTAAGCATGAACAACACAACACGTAAGAAATTCTCCCAGGGGCCCTGAGAGTCTCCTGAGGGTCTCTTTGGGGAGTAAGGGGTCACCGTAAGGGAAATGGCAGACACCTGTGTCTGAGCCACACCATGTTGGCCGCTGTATGCCCTGGGCTGCCATGCGAATGGTGTGTGTGCAGTGTTCTGGACTCAGAAGCAATCCAGTGTCCCTGAGCATGTGTGGGACATACTTGGACCCTTGCACAGGGCCCCAGACAGGGCTGGGCTGTCTTACCTTCCTCGCAGGTCACCCCTGAATGCCCAGGGCAGCACCGCCATTCCCTGGCAGTCACTGTCTTGTACGTCACTTTGTATGTGGGCCGCACCACGGTTCTGTAGCTGCAAAAACGTCCAGGTGGCTGGGTTCAGATGGGGTTTTCCACCGCCCTGTCCACTGCTCTGGACACCCCTGGGGCCAAGGCCAGCCTCCTGGGCCACCTCCCACTCCCCTCAGGGTCTTTCTGGATTCTTGGAAGAACTCCCACATCTGTCAACTCCCATTGCACCTCCACAGCCAAGGAGAGGTGGACAGGAAGGCCCAGCAGGCCGGGCATATCTGTCCCCAGCAGAGGAGGAGCACAAGGATGGGGTGATCCCTCACCACACAACGTTCCCTCTGCACTGACCACCCTGGGGTCTCGGCCTTCTCCCGCACGCCCTCCCATCTCCAGGCCTTTGCCCGTGCGGGGCACTGTCTCTCCACCACTTACCTGCTCCCCGGGCAGCTCATGGGCCAGGGGCAGTTCTGCAGCACTCGCTGAAGGTAGGTGCCATTTTGCACGTGGCATGAGACAGTACGGGTCACTACGTAGGAGCACCAGTTCCTGAAAAAAGACCCAAAGAGTAGAATGTGAGGTGTCAGGTGCCCAAGACTCCAGGAGGGCGGGTGAGGAGGCCTGTGCCCTCTCCAAGAGCCTCAAGCCTCTGGACAGAGACTCCTGAGCTCTGAGTCCTTTGGGTTCCAGTGGGGTCTGAGCTGTCCTGCCTACAACTCAAGGGTGTGCTCATACTGGAGGCTCCCAGAGACCCTTGGGGTCAGAGGGAGTGGTTATAGCTATGACTGGCCACCCACCCTGGGGCCCTGGTCAGGCCTCACACAAGAGTGTGAGGGAAGTGAGGGAGGAAGAAAACGAACAGATGTTAAAGGCCTGGGTGTAGCGCCCAGCATGCAGTGAGTGTGACAAATAGCAGCTCCAGAGGCTGAGCTGGATGGAGCAGATAGACAGCCTTCTTTGAGCTACAGAGAGCAGTTTGATCAACGTTGAACTCAAGGCCTCCTGCTTGCTAGGCAGGTGCTCTGCCACTTAAGCTGTGTCCCTAGCCCTTCTGTTTTTAATTTGCTATCAGATAGGGTCTCACGCTTTTGCCCAGGTTAGCTTCAGATGGGGATCCTCCTATCTCTGCCTCTCAAATAGCTGGGATTACAGATGTGATCCACCATCCCCGTCCTGAAAGTACAATCTCCCCACCCCCACCCCACCCCGATTTTATGCACGACTACTTATATACATACACAGAAGCAGGAACGGTTCTCTGGCTCTATTTTTTTTTTTTTTTAATTTTCTGTGCCAGTCTTGGGGCTTGAGCTCAGGGCCAAGGCAATGTCATTGAGCTCTTTTGCTCAAGACCAGCACTGTACCGCTTGAGCCACAGCTCTACTTCAGGCTTTTGGTGAGTCATTTATTGATGATAAGATCCTCATAAACTTTCCTGTTGGGGATGGCTTTTGAACTCTAATCCTTAAATCTCAGTCTTCTGAGTAGCTAGGATTTACAGCTATGAGCTGTCCGGTTCGGGCTCTATTTTAACAGACATACACCCATTCTGTTCCTCCTTATGCAGACATGACAGCCATCCCTGGGTTGCATGCCCACAGACCTTAGGCTCTGATACAGGGCCTGACTCTCCGTCTGGCTATTTAGGCAGCTCCCAGTGTTGCTGCATTCCAGTGCTATCTTGGGAAGCACCTGACACCTGCGCCCTGGGCACAGCCATACACTCCTGCAGCTTCATGGGCCATGTGGAATTGTCCCTTCTGTCAGCTCCCTCCCCCTTCTCTTCCTCCTGTGGTTGGATCCTAGTGGGACTTCCCCAGGATCCCATGACGCTGCTCCCAGTCCAGGGCTTTCTTTCCTGTGAGCCGGTAGGGGTGGGACAATGGGGCGCTGGACTGAAGTGGGGGCGGGTGCCTCCATGGTGGCTGCAACATTCCAGGTGTTCAGCAGCCCTCAGCCCTGTCCGGGGGTCATGAGCTCAGGGCTCTTTGCTGGGGCTGCAGAAGGAGGCCTGGTGTCAGGTGACCTTCCTCAGCCTGGGCCCCCCACCCCGGCAGGCATCCCCCCTTGTGGTCTTGAGCCCAAGGTCAGCAGGTTCCCAGGCTGGGACCTTACAGAGCCATAGGCCGGGGCTCACAAGCCCAAGGAGGACATAGGAGCTGAGGCCTCTGGATAGAATCTAAGGCCAGGCTGGGCCACCTCCATTCCTGGTTCGAATATGACTCTTTCATGCACCAGTTCAGTTTATATCAAACAATTGTCCCAGAGCCTCAGTTTCCCATCTAAAACAAGGTGCAGGAGCCTTTCTGGCTCACCATCTGAGACCCATGTGTATATTTTCAGCATACAGTAAGTGCTCAATATGTGACGTGCATGGGCCTTCATCTCAGCAACGGGGCAGAGCAATGGCTGAGTGCACACCGTCATCCAAACAGGAGGATCGCAGCCCAGGCTGGCCCGAGCATAAAGTGAGACCCTGCTTTGGAAATAATCATGTCCATTTGTGTTTTGTGTTTTGTGTTAATCATGTCATTTGATGACATTTCCTAGCCAGGTGCAGTGGTATGCACCTGTAGTCCCAACGACCAGGGAGGCTGAGGCAGAAGGATCGCTTGAGCCCAGAAGCTTGAGACCACACTGGGAGAGAGTGAGACCCTATCTCCAAAAGAAAAAGACGCTGGCACGGTGGCATACACCTACCATCCCAGCTACTACCAGAAGGCAGAAAGTAGGAGGATCACCAGATGGTGATGCAGCTTGGACAAAAGAGCAAGACCCTATCTCGAATTAACCCAGCAAAAACAGGGACTAGAGGTATGGCTCAGAGGTAGAGCACGTGCCTAGCAAGTGTAATAAGGCTCTGAGTTCAAACCCCAGTACTATCCAAAAAAGAAGAAAGCTCCCACTCCATAGAGCTTCAAGTCCATAAAGCCGTGCTTCTGAGCCCTTGGAGTTTTGTCTGGAGGTGGGAAAGAAATGCAAACAACTTGGTGTTCAAGCTCCCCACAGCCCAGGCTGGCTGAGGGTTCCAGAGGAAGGAACAACCAGGGCACTGGGAAGCAGGACCTCTGGATGAGATACAGGAGGGGTAGAATAAATGCTTCATGCCAGGGTGAGGTACACACACACACATGTGCACGCATGTGCACACATGTGCACGCAGGCCTACAGGGCTGAGCACACACGCCGGAGCACAGCAGTGCGTGTGCCCACATGGAAACACATCCGCTGTGCATGAACACATCTGTGCTGTGTGCACACGCACAGTGGCACAAAGACTCATGCACGCAGGACAGGCATGCCACAGCGTCACTACAGAAAAGCCCACCCATGCTCACATCCATTCTCACACACGCTGTCCCCCATGGATACAGGCTGCGGCTGCCATCTCTGTGTGTGCTCACATCCGTGTGCTCACATGCACACGTACTTCACGTGCACCGACTGCAGAGGCAGGCCCAGCGGGGCTGTGATAACTGCCCTCCTGCATACATGCACACAGGTGCGCAGACCACCCCTTCCATGTGATGCCCAGGACCCAGTTAAGCTAGGGAACAGATGCCTGTCTGCAAACGTCCAAGCTGTCTTTTTTTTAAAACCAGAGGGAGCTAGAGAAAACTTTTTTTTCTCTCTCTCTTTCATTAAAATCACCCTGGCTAGGCACTAGTGGCTCACACCTGTAATCCTAGCTCCTCAGGAGGGTGAGATTTGAGGATCGTGGTTCAAAGCCAGTCTGGGCAGGAAAGTCCATGAGACTCCAATGTACCACCAACAAGCCAGAAGTGGAGCTGTGGCTCAAGAAGCAGAGTGTCAGCCTTGAGTGGAAAAGCTAAGGGACAGCGCCCAGGCCCTGAGTGCAAGGACCTCCCCCCAACTCCCCCCCACCCCCCCATCCTGAAATCAGCTGGAAGGCACTTGGTGATGTTTGCTGAATGACTGAATGAAGAACAATGACTCTAGGCAGGAGGAACAAGACAGAAAGGGTCCCAGAAATAGAGGGGACACTGGACACCCTGCCTCCATCCCATGGATCCTGGGGGCTTCCTTCCCTGGGGTGTGGTCAACAGTGTGATCTCTGAAAGCCAGGTGAGGCTGGGGGAGGGGGGGAGGGAGGAGGAGACAGCATCTCTCCTGGGCCTGCCACTCTGCCCACTCAGTACTTCCAGGGCCCCCAGAGGGCCCTGGGAGGGGAGAAAACAGGCCAGACCAGCTCAGCCTGGCACTGGCCACCCCCTTCTGATTACCCCCCCCACCCTCCACTCCCTGCTGAGAGGGGCCCAGGGGACTTTGTCTCCACAGGGCCCAGGGCTGCGATCCGGAACAGTGATAGGGGCTAATTGCAGGAGGCAGCCAAGCGGGCCTGGGGCCAAGGGCCGTTATGAAAAGGAGAGGAACGAACAGAGACAGGCGGGTGGGGGTGGGGTGAGGAGAGCCAGAACCCCATACTGAGGCCCAGCTCCAGTCCCGCCCCGGCTGTCTTCTTACTGTCCCCCACCCCCGCCCCGCCGTGACCTTGGACCAGGCTCTGACCCCTCTGACCTCACTGTGCTCACCTGCACATGGGGAGAACAGGATGATTCTATGCCAGCATTGTGCTGTTGCTCTATGCCAGTACCGGGGCTTGAACTCAGGCCCTGGTGCTCTTGCTTAGTTTTTCCACTCAAGGAAAAGTGCTCTGCCACTTGTGCCATAGACCCACTAAACGCAGATGCTCTGCTTCCTTCTTGTCTCTTGACTGCCATGACGTACCTGGCCCAGGGGCCTCCATGGGGCCCAAAGACACGACACCTACCAGGTGCGCACCTCATTTTGAGGATAGATTGACAGGCCAGGCACTGAATTTTAGAGGGGGGAAACTGAGGCTCCTAGAGCTGGTAGAGAGGGGCTAGGCTGATGCCATGGTGTCTGTTTTCCCAAAGACAGCCAGGTCCCCGGGAGGTTGTCCTGCGCCAGCAATCCCGGTGACAATGACGGTGCTGGCTCCAACTCCGGAGCCACAGGGTTGAGGTGCGTGGTTCAAAACCATCAGGGATTGAAGCTGGGAGGGGCCTTGAAGGGACAAAGCAGCAGCATCAGGGATGAGGAGGGTTGGTGGGTTGGGGAGGGGAGGCTATGATGAACCAAAGTCACTCTGCACAGCCACTGGGCACCCCGATTCCAGGGTCTTGGTCTTGCCACATTCCTGGGGCTGGGGGCGGCCCCTTGGATGTCTTCCCGGGCTTCCCCCTGCCCATGCACAAAGCCTGCCTTTAGTCCCTTGGCTGCCAAGGGACTCCTGGGGCGCCTGGCTGGGGGTGGAGGGAGGGCTGATGGGGCATGGGCACCCCCTTGCTGTCTCCAAGATGCCGGGACCAGGCCACAGATGCCTCCTGCTTAGGTCGCCACTCTACTCATGTGGGTGATGGTGGACTCCCCTGTAGGTAGCTCTTTGCTAGTGCCATGGGGAAGGACAGACTGAAGGGGGAAAAAGAAAACAGGCTCATGGCCATGCAGTGAAATGTTTCAAGGCAAGAGACAGGCAGAAATAAAACCTCTTCCTGTTCAAAGCCGAGTCGCCAAACTCCCAACTGGCAAACTTCCCCAACTCCCTCTCAAGATGACAAGCTCTCTGCATCCTCACCACTGGGGAGCAAAGGCCTCTGGGATGGCAAACTGGCAAACTGACTCTCCTGCACCACCGTGATACATACCTTCCTCTCAGCCTCAGTTTCTTTATCTGTAATATGGGAGCAAAACCACTGCCCACAGAGCTACTGTGCCAGCCTTCTGTTAACAGATGGAGGTGGCACTGTTCCTTAGCTTTTTCACTCAAGGCTGGCACTTGCGCCATAGCTCCAGTTTTGGCTTTTTCCTGCTTAATTGGAAACAAGAGACTCGTGAACTTTCCTGCCTGGACTGGCTTTGAATTTCAATCCTCATATCTCAGCTTCCTGAGTAGCTAGGATTTGGAGCATGAGCATTGGCCACGGGCCCTCTGCTAGAGTCTTATCCCATCCTGGGGATGAGTAGTACAGGCTAGAAAGTCCTGCCTTGGCACCGCTGGAGAGGAGTCTGGGCTGGAAGCTTTTCTCAACATCCTGAGTCTGGCTCTGGCAAGTTCAAGTTCATAATCTCGGTCCTCTTAGCACCCGAGATCCTGGGGACTCACACCCCTGGCTCAGGAAGCTCATGTTCCCCCTCAGAGCCATGGCTTCTTCCTCTGTAAAACCAGGATCATCAAAACCATGGCTTCAGTGGCGACAGATGAAGGAAAAGTGCTCAGTCCAAGCCCAGCCGTGGTCAGTGCACAGTAGGTGGTGGCTGTGACATTTGTCACAGGTCCATCCCTGCCTGGAATAACTGCTCTTCTGGTCTCTGATGCCTCTGAGCCACTCTCATCCCCCAGGCCTGCCCCGGGGTCACCTGCTTTTGCTACCCCAGCAGGGGCACGCTGGCCCCTGACCACTGGGAAAGGGGAAATTCTGAAAAGAATTAAAGAATTGAGGCCATAGGGGGTGGAGGCTGGGCAGGCCTTTCAATGGGATGAAAAGGCCTAAGAGGCCTGGCTGGGGCACATTGTCTGCCTTGGTCCAGGAGGCTGGCCCTTGAGGGGAGACCCTAGCAGGGGCAGGGACCGCAGGCAGAGCCGGAGCTGGGACAGGTCCAAAAACTGCCATCAAAACAGGAAGATACAAGCCGGGCGCTGCCGGTGGCTCATGCCTGGAATCCTAGCTACTCGGGAGGCTGAGATGTGAGGATGGCGGTTTGAAGCCAGCCCGGATGAATGACCTGGTTTTCTGGCCTCAGTTTGTAAGTCTGTTGAATGGGGACAGTCGAGGGGCTGTCAGGAGGGCGTGCAAACGCCGGTCCCCTGGGGAGCGAGCGTGTGACACTGACCCCGGGCTGACTCCACCCCGGTCGGTCCTTCCTCCCGGGGAAATAAATAGCTGGGACACTAAAAAAAGCCAGGAGCAGGGACAGGGGAGGGGTGCTCCCCTCCCGGGACGTGCGTTAAGGGGTGCCCCTGGCCTTTTCCATGTGCGGGGAGGGGGTGACAAGTCCTGGGGGCCCTAGGGGTCCTTGCACCCTGCCCCCCTCCTGTCCACTCGGGGGCTGAGGGCCGACCGTGGGGGGGAGGCCGTCCTCCGGACACGAGCCCAGGGACCTCGCCCTCCGGGGCGCCTCCCCCACGGCCCAGACGGCCCGGCGGCCCCGGCCCGCTGGTCCCAACCAGGAATGGAAGTAGAGAAGGGGGCGGCACGGTGGGTGGAGGCGCGCAGGGCGCGAGGAGCTGGCGGGGCACAGCAGATGGGGGGACCCCTACCTGCGTCCGGAGAACGGGGCGCCCCCGACGCTCCACGCGGCGCCGCCTCCAGGGAGCAGGAGCCCGAGGCAGAGCAGCGCCCAGGCCCGCGGGCCGCCCATGCTGCGCCCGTCCGCGCGGCCTCGCCGCCTCCGCGTCCCCGCGTCCCGGCCCGGCCCGCGGTCCCCGGCCCCGCCGCCCGCCAGCCGCCCCGACGCGCCGAGCCCGGTTCCCAGCGCGGCGCCAGGGGGCGTGGCCTCCGAGGGGCGCGGCCTCCGGTGGGCGTGGCCTCCGGAGGGAGTGGCGTGTGACTGGGCGTGGTCTGAGGTCGGGGCGTGGCCTGGGAGGGGCGGGGCCCGCGGCTTCCCCTCCACCCCCAGCGCCCACAGCCCGGAAGGAGCCCGGCCGGCGCCCCCTCCAGGAGGCCGGCGGCTGCCCTGTGCCAGGCACAGCCGGGATCCAACACATCACCTGGCGGATGGTGTCTGCGACTCAGCCTTCCTCACATCTTGGCCCAGTCCGTTTCTCTCAAAAATGAATGGGGATGCTGGGCACCCGCGGCTCACGCCTGTCATCCTAGCGACTGAGATCTGAGGATCGGGGTTCGAAGCCAGCCCCGGCAGGAAAGGCCAGGAGACGCGTATCTCCCGTAAACCACTAGAAAACCGGAAGTGGAGCTGTGGCTCAAGTGGTAGAGCACTAGCCTGGAGCACTCAGGGACACCGCCCAGGCCCTGAGTTCAAGCCCAGGACTGGCACAGACAAACAAACTACAACAAAGCAACCCACAGGGGGGTCCGCCCACCCATGCCACGAAGGCTCCCTGGACGGGGTGTGCCACTGACTGGCATCACACGCACCCCGCTTCACATCTGGCCCCAGTTCAATCCTCCCGTCACCCTGTGTGCCACGTGGGCACAGCAACATCCCCACGGTTCAGAGGGGTGCACTGAGACCCCAGCACTCACCCCCCACCCCCTGGGGTTGGGTCAGCAAGGATAGACGCTACTTTTACATCTTGTTTTACAGATGGAGAAACTGAAGCCTAGAGAGGGGTCGTCATCCATGCAAAGCCCCCTGGCAGTGGGGGTGGCAGCGTCAGGATTTGAACGGGGGAAAGCTATGTCAGCCCTTCACGGGGAGCTGCGCGGGCTGTGCCTGGGCTCAGTCAGTAACCAGGTCAGAACTGGCTGAGGGAGGAGGTGTTTCTTCATCTGGGGTGAGGGCTGTGTGGCCCACAGAGGCCTATGCAAGTGGTGTGTGTGTGTGTGTGTGTGTGTGTGTGTGTCTGTGTGTCTGTGTGTCTGTGTGTCTGTGTCTGGTGGAAGTGTGCGTGCATGGTGTGTGTGCATGCACATAAGCATGATGACAAGCATGTGAGAATGTAAAAGGCATGTGTTTGCATGGAGCAGGACCAGAGCCCCCATCAGAAGAGATCTAGAGCCCCCCCCCAAGTCCCCAGGGCAGTCTCTGCGCCTCACTTTCTGCCCGAGCTGTCATGTGGAAGGCAGCCTTGGGTGGGGACCCCCTCCCCAAGTGTCCTGAGGAAGGGCGGCGTCCTCTGGCACTCAGGTCCCAGGCCTGGGTGGACAGCAGTCACCTTCAGTGTTCACCCGGAGGAAGCTGGCTCCTGGCCCCAGGGGTGGGAGTCAGAGCTGGGTTCAGATTGGACCCTTCCTCTTGGAACGTCAATTTCTCTCGAGTCTTTTCAGGTGTATCAGCACTGGAGCTCCAACTCAGGACTTTGGGCGCTGTCCATGAGGTTGTGTTCAAGACTAGCATTCTACCGCTTGAGCCACAACTCCACTTCTGGCTTTTTGCTGGTTCATTGGAGACAAGAGTCTCATGGCCTTCCCTGTCCAGGTTGGCTTTGAACCGCCATCTTCAAATCTCAGTCTTCTGATTAGCTAGGATTACAGGCGTGAGCCAATGGCACCTGGCTTCAGAGCCTTTGTTAAAAGATGGGGTCTTGCCCTGTAGCCCGGGCTGGCCTGGAACTTGCCAACCTCCTGCTTCACACTTCCGGCAGCTGGACTTACAGATCTGACGTGTGTGTGCCACGTGGCTGGCTGTCACATGCTCCTCCTAGCAGTGTGGGCAGCTTCTGTCACTGCGGCCTGGTGAATGCCCCCTGAGGCTGTGTGATCTGAGACCAATCCCTCCCCCTCTCTGAGCCTCCTTCCCTCAAGTCCGAGACAGCGGACTCAAGGGTCTTTTTCTGAACCCCAAGAGTCCTGAGAAAGTGGGCTGCCAGGGTTTGGGACGTTTGAGGCTGGAGTTTGGGGAGAGGGAGAGAGGAGGGGCTGGCTTGAGGTCTTGGGCCTGTCCCATCGTGGGTGCCCCCCTCCCGCTCTGGGGGCCTGGTCCCCCTCCACTGCCAAGCCCGGACCACAGCCGCTGGGAACCACAGCCGCTGGGAACCACAGCGGCTTCCGCTCCGGGTGCTGAGCCGCGCCAGGCGCTGTGTAAGCGGTTTGTTTGTGTTGTCTGGCCTCTGCCACTGGGGAGCTGTCTGATGGTCCCCAGGTGTGGAGATCGGGGTACAGGGGCTCCCACTGCCCCCTCTGGCTTGAGTCCACCCCCCCAGGGGCTTCTTCAGGGTGACAACTTGGCTCAGCTTTGGGCTCCCATGTCACACACAACCCAGTCCCCCTCACACACACTGGGGACTCGCGATTCCCCCCCCCCTCCAATCTGGTGTCCATTCGCTGACCGTCCACCCCGGGGCCCAGTACAAACAGGAAATGCTTTTCTCCCAATCAACACACAAACCTGGGCTGCGGTGGCTTCCTTCCCCTGGGAGCCTCCTGGGAGACACAGGTCTCCCCAGATCTGGGATGCCCTACCATGCCTGCCCTGTTTCCCACAGCAACTCCGACACCTGAGGAGACATTGCAGCCCCAGGGGATGGCAGCAGCCGGGGGGACCCCACCAAAGAGAGAGAGAGAGATACAAAACCCAAAGGAGTCCCTGCAAGTCTGCTGCCCTCCCTCCAAGGCTGCGGCCTGGGGGGGGGGAGGGGAGATGGCAGAGCTCACCCCACACACCCACCGGCACCCAGCCTCAGCTGCCCCAAGCACTGATTTCTGCCCTTCTCGCCCACCCAGCTCCCAAACCAGGCTTGGGGCTGGCAGGCGGGGAGGGGAGGAAGGAAGCTGTCAGAAAATCATAAGTTAGGGCCCGGAGAAGCCTTCCTGTCTCCAGCAGGAATCCTTGGGGTGGGGTGGGGCAGTGTCCTTTTAGGGAGTTGCGGGGGGGGGGGGGGGGTGCAGAAGGATAGGGCCAGGCCCAAGCAGTCATGGCAGGTCAGGGTGTCTGTATTTGCAGTTAGGAGCTCTGCAGGCTCTGTGCTGTGGACAGAATCCTTTCTGGACGAGCCTCGGTTTCCTCATCTGGAACATGAGAGGCTTTTCTGGGGCTTTCCTGGGAGTGAGGTGTTGGGTGGGAAGGATGGAGAACGAGATGGTCTTCTTCCCGAGGTTTGTTGCCTCTTGCCTTCCGGAGATTTACCTTCATGCAATTGTTCCCTTCCCACTCCCCATCCTCACACCTGCCTTCTCTAGGCTCTCTGCTCTGCTTCTCTTTCTGTATCTCTCTTCCTGTGAAAATGGACTAATGTAGCATCTACCTGCCTAGAAGCAGAGGGAGGAGATGTGGGGCTTGTTCATACTACAGTGTGAGTAACTGATATATTTAATGACCGAGCAAGGCGTCCTTCCAGGCTGGGCCTGTGGGTGCATGAGGAAGCCACATGGAGGCAGCTTGGGCCCCTGCTGTCCCAGGAAGGAGGCCCTGCCTGGGCCTCCCGGCTGTCCGGGGTGCCCCAGAATGGAAGCTTTGGGGGAGCAATGAAGAAATGGGTCATGGGGTGAAGGACCAGTCTATTAAGAGGGGGGCTAGCCGACAGCCAGGGCTCCTTACACACCACCTATCTGCAGGCTGCAGCCACATGAAGCTGCCGTGGGTGGTGGTGGCTGTGTCCCCTGGTCTCAGGGAGGGAGAAGGAAGGCGGGAGAAGCTAGAGTCAGAGACAGAGAGGAGGAGGGATGGGGAGGGAGGGAGAGGCAGGCGCTGAGCCCTGACACACAGCCAGAGCAGCGGAGACAAGAGGGCGGAGCACTGAGCGGCCAGGAAGGGGCTGCTTGGTGCTCTGAGCCTTGCCCTGGGGCCCACCTGTTTTCTCCTCCAGGAGAAAACATCACCTGTCCAGGGCTGGGAATGTGGCTCAGTGGTAGAGTGCTTGCCTAGCATGCATGAAGCCCTGGGTTCAATTCCTCAGTACCACATATACAGAGAAAGCCAGAAGTGGTGCTGTGGCTCAGGTGGTAGAGTGCTACCACCGGGAAAATGGGAAGGACATCATTTGGTTATAGGAGCATTTAAATAAGGCAGGTTGACCCTCTGACCCAGGACCTGAGTTGAACTCAAAGCCTGTCACATGGAATAGCTTTTAGAGGGAGAAATCTGGGCAGCACAGGCCTAAGTTAGACAGCCTGCCAGACAGACAAGGTCAGTCCTTGTCAGAGAATTTGGGGTCGAATGGGAGTTGCCACCAGCTGTGGCTGAGCCAGCTCTGCCTGCAATTAGGAAGGCCCGCCACGTGGTGGCGCTGTAGCCATACACCTGCCCAGACAGCTGCCTTTCTTTTCTTTTTCTTTTTTGTTGGTCATGGGGCTTAAACTCTGGGCCTGGAACGCTGTCCCTCAGCTCTTCAGCTCAAGGCGAGCGCTCTACCACTTGAGCCACAGCACTACTTCCCATTTTCTGGTGGTTCATTGGAGATAAGAGTTTCACGGGCTTTCCTGCCTGGGCTGGCTTTGAACCAGGATCCTCAGATCTCAGCCTCCTGAGTAGCTAGGATTACAGGCGTGAGCCACTAGCACCTGGCTGACAGCTGCCTTTTTGAGAAGGAGGAGCTCCGAGGACAGTGCTCACAGGGATGGAAGAGGCCTGTGGTCGGGTCTCGTCAGGGCTGAGAAAGGAAGGGCCTGTGTTTACCTCACCAAGTCTGCGCTGAGTCAGGGAGGAAAAAGAAGCCAATTCTGCTCCTAGCATTCAGCCATCTCTGCATTCTCCTTGGGAGAAGACAAGTATGGTTTTCGGTTTATAACAGTACTATTTATTTTATTTTATTTTTTGCTGGTCCTGGGGCTTGAGCACTAGGG